TTTATTATTTGCCGGAGCACCTTAAAAAATATTTTTTTAACAGACTACATTTTCTTTTTTAATGAAAAATATTTTGCAGTATTATCATATATCATTTATGATATTCTTTAACTACAATACAGGATGTCCCAAAATGCTCAAGTACCAGTGACACAGAAGTTAAATGAGCTTGAAATCTATCAGAACATCATAGTTTGACCTCAGAAAAGATATTTACACTTTTTTAATTTTTTAAAAAATTGCTACCTTTTGTCGGATTTTCTGCTATTGTTGCATGGAATAGCTTCGGATTGTATTTTTTTATTGTTCTGACCTCTTGAATAGCTTATCCAAAAAATAGAAGTATGTATTATTTTACCTAGAAATACTTTAATAAAAAAAATGTTTTACCGTGATTCGTGATGGATAGATAGAAAAGACAAAAACTTTGACTAGCTGGTGTGAAAAAACTGTATGACACCGAGTTTGAAAATAATTTTAAAAAGTGGTCTACTTAAAGCTGATTCAGGGATGGTAAATCACTAGTGTGTTTTTTGGCCAAAACTTTGACATTTAATTTTTTTTCCTCATAATGGCCCCATTAGCCAAATTCGTTTTAAACAAAAAAGATAAATTTATCTAAACTTACCACAGTACAATTTGTTGTTAATAACTCAGTTAATTGAAATGAAGTTTAAATAATGACTTATTAGTTATCTCGCCCTAGTTTTATTCTTTGAATGCCAAGTAGTAAATTTCTTAGCCCTTGGTTCATTTTGGTGCATACGATGCGATGCGATAGGATATGAGCCCAACACCGGCTCGTGATTGGTTTAACGGTCGCCATTTGTACCCCGCATAGTGCACCTGCACCTGCACTGAATCGTTTGGTAGTAAATTCTTTTTTATCTATAATAACACTAAAGGGTTGGTTGATATATTATAGCCGATACTCGAAGATCTATTACAATTTACAGACATTTAGCTTTTAGCAAAGCAATCAAGAGACCTCTACATATCTTCAAGAAGCGTTAAATGTCAGTCAGATGATTTATCACCCAAAAACTATTTAACCTCTGCTGAGAATATCAGTTCGTATCCGGAGTTTTTATTTACATAATGTTACTAAATTTAACACGAATACAGTTCACTAAAAGTGTGGGGTCCAATGGGTAAATATAATTTTCACCATCATCAGCATATCAAACCCCACTGCTGAGCAAAGGTCTCAAAGTTCCCATGGAAAAGATTTGAGCATTAATCACCACACTTGCTCAAGATGGGTTGGTAATTTCTAACTTATAATTGAAAATTATAAGTCAAGGTTTCCTCACAATATTTTCCTTCACTGTCAGTCAGAGGTGTTTAAATACTGTAAAAAATGTATATATGACTCGAAAATAAAACATTGGTACTTGCCCTCATACACGAGAGGCTGTCCTTTCAACCTCTAGGCCACCACTGACTAACTACTTACTTTCTTAAAATATGTATTATCTTATTATTGCAAGTTACGGCTGCTGGTTTGTAGTTATATTTCCCAAATTCTCTTATTAGACCTAATGTCTCAAAATAACTTATTCCAGTATTTTCCTTATTCCATACTTTTATGATCCTAAAAAATATTTTATGTGTAGTTTTTAAAAGAAAAAGGTTTATTATTCCATCTCTTTGTAAAACTTTATCATTAAAAATTAAATGAGAAAATTAGATTGTCCACTTAGTCTGGGGACTTTGGCCTGACGTGAACAGACATTTTATCATATTTTTTGTAATTAGTTTAAAAGCACTAACTAGTAATAATAGAATATGAACTTAATTTTGTATCAAAATGTTTAAAAAGAAATTTTTGTCATGTGAGGAAAAACAGGTTAAAGCAAAATAAAACAACATTTTTTATGATTTATTTTTATTCTGAGACATCATATGTTATTAATATGTGTTCAAGAGATTGGACAGGTGGTGAAATGTGTTCCTGATACCTTGTGCAACTTAAAAACCATAAAATAGTCATTATATGAGTGCAGCAACCCACTGTCCTTCGGCCAATCATGCAATTATAATAATATTCTTTTATAGCTTCCTTACCATTGATTATTATTTTCATATAATATATATATAATAAATTTTTCGACTTACATGCCTGCTTTGTATTTTCATCGCAATAATCTGCAGTTGGCCAAAGGAATCAGTAGTCAGCCAATAGGTCGCTGGCTATATTTTTACATATTTCTATAGTATAGGAACCATCGCCTCTAATGTGCTGCCCGTAATACAAACAAGCTTGTTTTAGTTGGTATGTTCCACATGCAATTAATATAAGATCATTATATTCTATTCTTGGAAATATGAAACTGTCCATGTTTACATTTATAGGTTGAAAATCTGCCCGCCTTCTATTTAAATTATGTTAACAAAAAAATTATTATAACAAAGGCAGCTAATGTGTTAGGAGTAAACATCTTTTCATTTATTATAATACAGCAGTATATAAGGATTATAATTATATAAAATAATAAAACCTCATATTGCATTATAGGAATAGCATATAAAATACATATCTATTAAAAAAACGAGTGATTTAAATAATTAATAGAATTGACACTTACTCGTCGAGGAGCTATCCACTGTCTTATAAAAGACTGAACCTGATTAAGATCTAGACTATGTCGCCTTCGCTCTATCAAATTAGTTCCACAGTTTATGCATCTCAGAGATACGGATTGGTAAGAAGTCACTTCTTCTGTGTTCAGACTATCATGAGACACGCTTTGGTTTTGTTCAATGTCCATATTCGAGCCGTGGTTAGCGATGGAGCTAGTTTCGGGGTCCATATTACGTGAGTAGTGGTCATCGTTTATGCTATGTTAGGAGTCCATAATACAAAAGCCAGGGTCATCGTTTGAGCGAAATTCGGGTTCCGTAGATGTGCCGAGGTCATTCGAAAAAGATAGGTCATAATGAATAAACAATCGTTGAAAGAAAATCCACAATAAATCAACACTCAATGTAGGTAAACAAAGCGAATGTAAACAATCACTCTGTGACATATCAATGTCAAATTGTATTTTTTTTGTTTTATTAGTGCTGCAATAGAAAAAAAACATTAGAAAATCGATCGAAAAAAGATATGATTACGTTTAACATTCTTCATATTTCAGTTTATGAAACGTTTTAAATGGCGAAACTAATAAAAACAAATATTTTTATTTTTTTTAAATTAAATTCTTATAGTTGTATTAAGTACTGCGAGATGATTCGATTTGACGCAATCGTTAATTGATCTTTTTGGTAAAACAAAACGTGTTTCAATATAGCAAATAAATGAAGAAACTTTAAAAAAATTTTTCAATAAAATACAAATATACACTCAAACAACAATAGAATCGCTTGCTAAAAAAAAATATTTTTTTTTTCATAAACTTGTTTTTTTATAGCAGCTTGTTCACGCTGGGCCAAAAGTGGACATTGCACTTTAACAAGTGTTCTAATGTATTAAAACATGATTTTAAAATTTTAAGTTTGATTCAGACCGCTATAGAAATTTCGTTAAAATTCAAAATATTATATTATTCTTTGCACTATTTGAATTTGTTTATCATTTGAAAATTAGATTGTATGAAAGAGAGAAACAATAAAAGCCTTGTTAAATATTTAGTTGCATTTTCAAGAATTATTTTTGAACAATCATTTCATATTAATGCCGTTCGCTGCAAAGTGAATTATTATTTTTCATTATTCCCAAATGGTACGTTATTATTACATAATTTATTATTATTTTAATAATGCCTCTTTGTCGAAATATAGAAAAACACAATTCAGTGTTGTAAACCTATAGTACAAACGTCATATAAATATACGTATTAATTATTAAATATTTATTTAAACTTCAACAATGTATTGATAAAATTTTAAGGTATTTCATTATCGTAAATTGTATTCTCATAAGAGACGAGACGAAACCTCTTAGCATTCAATGGATTCACCGTGCGGGTGCCGGGTCCATTGCGTTGCAGGGAGAGGAGCTTCAACAGTGCCTGGGACTTGCGACCCAGGTGTAGGTTTAAGGGGCCCCTTAACTAACGCGCGTTATACGCTCACCTCCACTGTCCAAGTTCCTCTCCCTACCTAACCAAATTTGAAAAGAACCTACTAGGGCTGCCTTCGACGTACGTTCTAAGAATGAATTAATGTTAGTTCTGGACAGGCCCAAGTCTTTTAGTAGGTTATAGAGAGATTTAGCTGTTATACCTCTCGCTCCCACCTCTACCGCGTACAAATCAACGACGAACCTATTTCGAGTTAGTTCGTTAGTGAGCTCGTAATACTTATTGACCTTGATGGCATGGTCTTTGGGGATGTTGGTTTCCCAAGGCACCGTAAGCTCTATCATCACAACGCGCTTTAAAATACGCGAATATAGAAATATGTCTGGTCTGGAGGCCGACGCACAAATATCCTCGGGGATTTTGTATTGTTTCTCATACGTATCCATCATGATAGTCCAATCCGAAGCCGCTTTAAGGATAGAGTAAGGCTTGACGTTTGATTTTATAGCCCTGGTGCCCTCTCTCACAAAACCTATTGATCGCTCGTTTGTGGTTATTTCCCTTTGCGCTCTGGCTACCGAAAGACTAACCGCTTCACGTATGATCTCTAAAACCCTATCGTGACGACGCGAGTATTGACCGCTGTCCAGGAGAACCTTACATCCCACCAGCAAATGCTTGGCAGTTCCAACTGCCTTTCCGCAGATATAGCAAGTTTTTTCGGTACCTTTACCCCATCTTACTAAATTACTCTGATCTGGGAGAGTCATCTGGAACGCATTGAGATAAAATTTTAGCAAGGCTGGCGACCAGTCATGAATTAGGGTGCGCCATTTTAGTGCTAGTGGAATGCAAAAATCTCCTATGTCTAACCACTCGTTCTGCATTTCTAAACTCATTGCATGGATCTTGTATTTATCGTTCTCGTCTTGCCGAATAAAAGACTTCAATATATCCGTATCTTGGACTTTCCTACTTGATCCTAACCCTACTCTGTTTATTTTGCGCTCCGATCATAAATTGTTTATGGAATTGAAGTCGTGACTCTAGCTCTGGGGCATCATTGTCTTTTGGGAGTGATGTAACGACGTCATCATGGGATTTTCCCAGGATATGTCTCTTGGAAACTCTTAGGTGTTTGTAGAGCTCCGATGGTCTTTTTAGATTCATCCCAAAACTATTACGATCCCTGAATAAAGCCGATGAATCAGCCGTTAGCGCGAGCCCGAGCCACAACTTCAACATCTTTATGACGCCTGCATCTAATTTAGATAAAAGGGTTTTACTAAAATCATAGACGAGGAAAGGCCAATTCAAACGTGAAGTTAAGTAATTATCGTAGATCCATGCTTTTTTTACGTTACTGATCTGCTGGCTATCTACCTTGTTAAGATCATTTAAAAAGCTATCTACTATTCCTTCTAAAGATGGAGTACGACCTATATTATCAATCTTACGACCGAGAAACTTGAATGGTGCATCTTCCGTAACCGTAGATTACGGAAATATACATATATAGTAATATTACAGCACCGGAGACGAATTTCCGTCTGATCCAGAACAAGACCGATGACGACACAGTAAACGTCATCTGTGCGGCGGATGGAGCCTACCCAGCGCCAAACCTCACTCTCGCCACACCGGAAAGGTATGCTTTCTATTTTTTGCTATAAATGGATAATAATTATTTTTCTATACATAGAAAGATGTGGATAATTCACCAGAAATTTATGTTATGAGTAATGCTCGTAGGTATTCACTCTCATTTTCCTAAAACGTACCTACTGAGTAGGCCTCAAAAATTTTTGCAATTTTACCCAACTACTTCTAGTTTGTCATGGTTAATTATAAGAATAACAACACTATTGTCATCATTGTAAACCTAGATTTTTATATAACTTGGTTATACATTATCTCACATTTTTCTTTGTACTTTCAGTTGTACAAGAAAAATATATTATTACAATATAATATCTTTGAGAGCTAGAAACAAACCTTTGCTATTAAGATGCCCCGTGGCCCGTAAATGTACTTTCTGCCAATAATAATTGACTTTAATTAATTTGTTTGCATAACTTTATTGAGTACCTAAATAAAAAGATCCCTACGAAGCTAAAATTTATAGACCTATTATTAAAATTTTTATGCCGTAATTTATAAAAACAGAGATTGGAATAAATTGTTCATTAACAATGATGTAACTTTATGAAAAATTGACAAATAATTTTTCGCCGAGGATTTTTCGTTCAAGTGTTAATTTCACCATAATTTATTGATTATTTAATATTATCATTTAATATTAAAGAATATATGTTTTAGGTGATATACCGGCCTTTTAGGCTGCGCGCCCATGCCGTAACGCCCTAGCGGAGCCCTATTTTCAGCGTAAAAAAATAATTATAAATAATATAGATAGAGTTCCGGGAGTTAGGACTTTTTATTGGAAATTTCCTCCTTTTTCAGGAGGAAATTTCCAATAAAAAGTCTCTTTTCTTTTTTCAAATTTCCTTAAATATTATTAATTTAATATTAAGAAACACTATTAACACACAAACACATTAATTTAAAGAAACACTGAATACCTTTTTTAAAAATCTTATTTAATTAATAACACTCGCAATTTTTTTATGTCCTAATATCCCCTTAAAAACATCTTTCTAGACGTCATTCCGAATCGAATGATTGACACATATTTTAAGGAGCTTTATTTCTAATAAACACGTTTTTTAGCATGTTGACTAGACTAAAAGCTACAATAATTCTATGATATATGTATATATGGTTGTATATCGAAAGAGAAAAGAGATACGTATTTTTTTTAATAAATTAAGAATGTGTGACCTTAAATTTAAAAATAAAGTTTTTATACCTTTTAATATAGAGGAGTACCCAAACCTTTTATTTGTGCTCTAAATTCATAAACTTGATTAATCTTAAGAACAGGCTAAGGATAGCCATAGCGAGCCAAGTGCACGCCAAAGTTGTTATTGCCTGTTGTATTAAGTCTACTGTAGACCGTAGCCGCATTACAGTGAATTCGTGTAATATGTAGTTAGTATGATATCTGGAGACATTGAATTGCAAAATTGTAAATCTCGATGCCGAATATTTGTAATTGTAACTTGAATTCAGATAAAGAAATTCGCTTGTATTTTTATGAGTTTTTCTTATATATCTGACGATTAAACGCTTTTTTCAATGTACAATCGTTGGAAATAATAACTTGCTACATAACTTTTAGACATTTTAATGAAATTTCTAAATTTGTTATATACAAGATAGTCGGATTTAATAATTCATTTTTAAAAAATAAGCAAATATATTGTTGAATCGTAATAGAATTGTTATATTTTTCTTAAAACTTAAAAAAATATATATTTTTTCTTTATTTCCTTCAAATAAATTTTTACTGCTCACTATTAGAAAAATTAAATTTTTGCACCAATTTTCACTACGATAGATTAAGATTTGAATGAGGAATTTTTAAAGCATTTTTTGATTTTTTTGACATTGTTTTATTCTGTTTCTTTTATTACTATTTTAAATATCTTCGGTTTGAAATGGCTTAGATGTTGTTTTTTTTTTATTTTATCACAGAAACATGGCATCTAATATATCTTTAATGTATACTTTATGTTCGATCCTGTATTCTGCAAGCTGTGATTTACAATAAAATCTTGAATGGCCCATAAATTTCTGGAAAACTTAATAACGTGCTACCTGCCAAATTTCTTATATTTTAGTAAAACGATTTCATATTTCTTCCACCAATGAATTTAGATAAAACTTAGAAGCAGTAACTAGCTAAGGATACTATTAGTTTCATGTCATAATGTAGGCTTGATGAAGATTTCATAAAATCAAAAGTTACCGTCGCCCATAGACATTCGCAACGTAGATTTGCGCCCTTTGATTTACAGCCCTTGTTTGGGGAAAAGGGGGAGGAAAAGGCGGGACAGGGAAGGAAAGGCAAGGGAAAGAATTAAAAGAAAACGATTTCGTTTTTAAAGTTACATAGACCAATGTTTACAACGTTTTACGTGCATGCAATTAAAGAAAAAGTTTACCAGAAACACACAGAACTCAAGCTGTTTCATGAGGATCCAAACTCCAAATTATAATAATAAAACATAATTGAAAACATGTGAATTTGTAATACTTAATTTTTTTATATTAATACCTTTTTTCATAGGTCACTGGATGGTGTTTCTCACAGTCTGGAATTTGTGAACGGACGATATTCCGCCATCGCGACTGTTACGCTCCAGGACGCTGATCTACCAACTCCAGCCGAGTTTATATGCACTTTACGGATACCCATTGCAAATTATGTTGTGCGAAAAGAAGCTATATATTATCCAGGTTAGTTAATCATCAATATATATTTTCCTCAAAATTACAACTTCATCATGTTCATCATCAGCCTATCAGAAACCACTGCTGAGCAAGGGTCTCATCTTAAATGGATAAGGTTTTAGTATTAATCAGCACGATTGCTCAAGATGGGTTGGCGATTTCAAACTTATAACTGTAAAATAATTTCCAGGAAACTCGAATAAACCTGGATTTTATAAGTCCAAGTTTCCTCGCGATGTTTTCCTTTATCGTCTGACAGTGGTGTCTAAATACTCTAAGAAAGTACATATGACTCGAAACAACTTTGTAATGCAATATACCTAGTCGGTCCCATAATGAACTGACCTGATATAGCACTACGCGACTTGTCGCTACATGTTGTGTTGCATTAAATAGTACATTAATCGTGTATTTGACATTACATTGACAGGAAAACCGTCTTAGTTTAGCAGGCCTTTAAATAATGAGAGTCGCGTATTTTTTTATTGATTCTAAATACAGTCGTCAACGGTGAATATCATGTTTCTTTAATACAAATATATAAATTACAAAACAAGATAAAGGTAAAGCGAAAAAGCAAGCTGTCTTAAGTTGTGTTCATGTCGCTGGTATTTCTAAGGATGCACTTCGTAAATCCGAGTTCACAGAAGTGAAAAATCTAGCTTACCATGCAGACATAGCCGTTCGACAATTATTTGTTTTCAAATTTAAAGCGGCACTCTCGAGGAAAAATTTCTTCATGTGATGAATTGTTGCAGGCTGGCATCTTAGATCATTTTAAGGAAAACAATTATGTATATATTTAGAGATTTTGATTCACAGATGTGAGAAATGTGATAGTATTCATGGAGATTATATTGAAAAAAAGTTGGTTTCGTTTCATTTTCTTCATTCGTTCTTAATTCAGCAAATTCATTATGGGACTCTTGAATTGAAACGCATCAATTATTAAAAAACTAAAAATCTTGTTAGATTGTAAATAACTCCAGCATTTATTTCGCTGATAAACATAAATAAATGTCGTATAAAAATGTGAAAATGGCGAGCAACATTTTAGCTGCTATCGTAACTGTTAACAAGCAAAAATATAATTTGATTACTTTTTGCTTAACTAGAAATTATACCAACGAAACCAGTGGCATAAAGTGGCGTGGACATAAACAGAATACTGTTTATTTATTTAAGACAAGCAATTTAACCGTTTTATAAGTCCACTAATGTCATTAAAGCGGCTGTGGGTTTGAGTGAAATGAGGGAATGGTAATATATTTAAAAAGTAGGAAGAGAAATAACTTTTTTGCGGTATAATTTGCTAGCGGACCATTTAAGCTTTCTATCAGCAGAAAGTTTGTGTGCACAGCTATCTAAACTGGGGATGAGATGAAACATTTCCTGCAGTGAACCTATTGAATAATTTTATGCTTCATTAAATCCGTTCTTCATCTTCTACATGGCAATTTCAGAGCTTTAGTCAGGGTCTAATTGTTGTTACGACCGGCCGCCTGAAAGACATCAACCCTCTTTGGGAATGTATTAATCAGTGATATCTAAATACTCTTAGAAAGTACATATGACTCGGAAAAATCACATTGGTGTTTGCCCGGGCCAGGATCGAACCGGCGTTCTCGACAACGAGAGGCGACGCCTCTAACTAGCTATTAGGCCACCACTGACTAGCCACCACCACCGCTTCATTAAATCCATTGTTATTATAAAAAATCTGTGATATACAGGGTGACTGGTGAATTACTATCGATATTTGAGGACGTGATATTTGACGATCATATATGACAAAATAAAAATTAATATAACATAAATATTAATAAACTTCTAAGTAAAGTTAACCAAAAGTTATGTAATTAATTACGCATCGTGTGCACACCCTACAG